ATTCAATGTACAAACGCGCCCCAGTTTGATAACCTGTCTGTCTATCACTTTGAAAGTCAGTGATTCTTTATTCCAGGGTTATAAATTACCGAGAAGGAGCTTCAAAAGAAGGCTTCCCATTCAATTAAATAAAGACGTCAAATACGTTGACTCTGTACCTCCCACACAACGATGTCATTAATTCCTAAAGGATTATGTTCAGCACAAGTTAGCCCTTCTGAGAACCAATCTAGCTACAACTATATTTAAAAAAAAATTCCCAATGATAGAAATTTCTACGGGTGCACATGATCGTTGATATGACTAATCTCGCGTGGATGACGACTTTCACAGCCTAAAGCTCACAGCAGCACTAAAGCGACTGCCGACTAAAATGCACGACCATCAGCCGGATCACGTCGCACGTATCGATACGCGACTGAGATCTTTTAATTTGAAGGGTAAATATACGGCGGTAACTATGATGACTGAAATATGTCTAATAGGGGCATAGAATTACTGGAGGAGTATTAACATGCCATTGTCAAAAAATTTAGATATACCCTTCGACACCTCCTGCAGCCCCTAACCCCCTATTTTTAATCCGTTCAAAATTTTTTCCGAAAGTGATCATGAACCCCTGAAACGTCAAAAAAAACGAGACTTTTCGTTTTTGATCTTTTTCTCCGCCGCGGCTACAAAGTTTTTCCGTTCTTGTACATTCCATATAATATCAAAAACACATATCTCATTTTAACAAAAATGTTTATTGCAGCAAGAAGGCGTGGTTAGTAAAATGTTACAAGAGATAGCGCCCTGTCGCCATCTTGAAATATTCAACTGTTCTTTTTGCGTTAAAATATAGTATCAATTATATCATTTCGAATGTTAGCTTCACTATTTAACCGTTAAAAAAATTAATTTGTATGGACTTTTCTGAGAAGTACTGTATATGCGCTATAGTTATAGCACGGTACTTCATTAACTTTACTACATACAATTACGATAATATTCCGAACATGTATATGACAGTTTTTGTAGGTAAGTTATTTTCTTTTGTTAAATGAAAAACGTCCACAATATTACATTTTTTATGACCAATGATGCTGATTGTCGACTTGGAACATGCTCGAGGTCAAGACTACTGCTTGAATACAGCTGCAAAACTTACATCAAGTGACAGCTCGCATCAGTAACATAGATTCTTGTGATGTTTCTATCATTTACTATACCTCCTCAAAACTATTTGAAGTTATTTGTAAAAACTTGATCTAATGTAGCTACTATCGTCGCTGTTTACCATCATCTGTCACAGGTATATACAACACATTGGATCGGATGGAATCGGTTAGTGAAAAAAATTGGAAATGCTTACAGCAAAAGCAGCTTAAAGCATTTAAACGTATTCAGAGTTGTTGCTCTTTATCTCTCCATCTATGACCTCAGGTTTTACTCCTAAAGAAAATGACAAGTCTAGAATTTGATCTAATATTGGCAGGATCCTCAACTTTTAGAAGCTTTAGTATTACGTATAATAATAATAGTAATAATAATAATAATCCGGCTTTTTTTATACAAAGTATAAAAAGGCGAAGTGTCGCTAAAACTTAACCCAACAAATATTTGGGTAAATTTTCTAATCCCAATGAAAACAAAAAAGTTAAAAAAAACCTATAACGAGTCCCTATTCATGGCCATGATCTACTTACTGGGCAATGAAATCAGAGATAAAATGCTTCAATCTTTTTTTGAAATTCTTTATAGAGTAGTGAGTGAACTCGGTAGGCAACGCGTTGTATAGCTTGATAGCAGTATATCTTATGTACGACCTTTTAAATAGAGATGTTGAATGCCTCGGGATAACCAAGATATGTTTATTCTTTGTGTTCAGTTGATTAACATCTGAGTATCTGATAAATTTGGTTGATAGATATGGAGGGGCTTGTGTTGTGATTACTTTATGTGTCAAGGTCAATACGTGCATTTTTTGTAGCTCTTCTATTTTTTAAGCACCCTGCTCGCGATGTTAATGTGATACTGTCTCAAATTTTCTCAGTCCACAAGCAAATCTAGAGCACGCATTTTGAATAGTCTGAAGTCTCCTTATCTCAATCGATCTTAGTGCAGGCCCATAAATAAAGTCACGGTAGTGATTTCTAGACCATATTATGGTTTCGCACAACTTCAGCTTGAGACCAGTATTCATATTTTTCCTATGAGGAAATAATTGTTCCAAGACACCGAATGATGTTCGGCACAGTTGACTAACATGTTTTTAAAACCTCAAATCAGAGTCAATCTAGAGTCCTCAATTCTTGCTCTCATTTTTTATAGGGATCGGTTGGTCTAAAATGCTCAATGATAGTAATGGTTTTGCCTGACTTTTTTTGATTTTTGGTCCAAATATAACTACGGATGATTTTGAGGGGTTAATTTTGAGATTATGGGCACAAGATACGTTAGATAAATTTCATTAAATCTTCATTAATCAAATGTTCGGCATTATTTAAACCTTTATTATCAAAGCCAAAGTGCAATTGAGTGTCGTCAGCATAGTAATTGAATACTGCAGTGTTCAAAGTACTCGTGGAAGTCAGAAATGTAAATTGAGAACAATAATGGTCCCAGAATGGAACCCTGTGGTACCCCTTGTTTAACTGGTGTCTCCTTCGAGATAGTTGACCCAATCACAACCATCTGACTCCTGTCAGTGAAATAACTTAATACAAAATTCATTGCAGATTCCATAAGCTTTTTCACAAGAATAAATGGTTCCACCATATCAAAAGCCTTTGTATAATCATGCTAAATTTCCTTGATCTACACATCTGATTAAGTCATCCGTGATGCTAGCCAGAACAACTGTTGTTGTGATGTGGTTTTTCTTGAACCCCGATTGGATTTCAGGAATGATACTGTATAAACCCAAATGTCTCTCTCCTAAACTCAGAATGCGAAAAATCCTTGCTATTATTATATATAGCGTACACCGAGGCGACTCGTCAGGGTTATTACGTGAAAAACCTATAAAATGTAAAAAAAAGTAAACGATAAAATGTCAACTTGCTGAGTAAGTAGGCTAGTGTAATAGCAAAAACTAGTTCCAAGTTGACATCTTGTAGGGTAACCTACATAATGTCAAAAATCCAACATAATGTCACTTTTCAAGTTTCGTGATACCTCTGCGGATCAATGGGTAAATCGCATAAAAGTAACAGTGTCAAGATATTAACAGATTTCTTATTTTAATACGATTCACCCATTAGTCTACCCTATCTTTAATTGTTAATGTTAGACATCTTTTTGGTGAAAAATCGTTGAAAATAACATAATTCCATGCACTACGCGGTAGTTGCATAATGTTATTCAAGATGCACCGTACTTTTTAAATGTGAATGTCACTCAGCTTCCTAGATGAATTAGGTAACTGTTTACTATGTAAATGCCATGCTGTAGGATTTTCATTTGCATAAACATACTTTTTGTTTGTGTTTGTTATTTTCCAAGTATTTTCATCCACTCAGCATTTATGACATTCTATGGCTAGTTGAACCAATATTTGAACATTTCTTATACTGTCAAAAGCTATTTCCAGCTACTTCAGTGGACTGTTGTGTTGATAACTTATACAGTGGTAATTTCAGTGGCAACGTAAACGCGGGTACGTCTAGCCAGTAGTACCAGCAACAAGTAGCTACGACTACCACTGTAGCTGCGTAGATCAGAAGTCGTCACCTGTGTCACATTTTTAAGAAAGGGCCTGGTTTATGTTGACTAATAAACTGAACTCTGATTCAAATTAAACCTCATTTAAGGCAGGGGTATCGCGACCCAGATCTCCCGATATCCCAGAGAAGCATAACAGATGTGTGGCTGACCTCCCTTCTGGCCGTAACATATCCACCGTAATTGACGGGTTCTCCTCTTCATCCCACAACGTCAACGCGGGTGTTCCCCAGGGATCGGTCTTGACTCCCACATTGTTCCCCTTAAACAGTGGTCGCCAACCTTTTCAGTGTGTTGAGCTACTATGAGAATTATTTTGGAATAGACAGTGCGCTACCTAGTCGTAAGCAATGTAAGCCAACTTAAATGAAATTATACACAGTTGTATGCGACATATTTTACTAATGCTAATACATACTAATAAACTTAAACTAATAACTAATACACACTACATAGCTACATCCATTCTTACCAATCGTAGGTGTTTGAAAAATCCTCAAAATTTTTTCGTCAGCTACAATGGCATGTCTCATACGATTTATGAAAGGCAACTAAAAATAAAAAAGGCAACACACTATCTTAAACAAAAACTTGTGCATATAAAATTACGTGTTCAATGAGAAGCTTGACAGTCAGACTCATTGACTATTTTTTTAATGTTTGGAGTATAATTTGATACCGCCATTCGAATTCAATTATCCAAATGTTCATCTGTCAGTCGATTACGGTATTTGTTTTTAATAAACTTTATATTTGAAAAAGAAGATTCACACAAATATGTTATACAGGGTGGCGCATCGAAAACGAAACAGACGCATTTACTGGCAGCTCTGTTTTTTTTTGAATAACGCTCAGACCCGTCGATTTTGTTTTCGAGGGGGACACAAGTTTGGCAAAAAATCACGTTAGCGGGGGTGACACCACCCCAAAAATCTTAATTGGAAGGGGGGGTCGAGTGATACCTTATTTTAAAGGTTTTTCAATTCCCCCGCTCAGGGGGCTGCACGTGTTAACGTGATTTTTTGCCAAAGTTATGTCCCCCTCGAAAACAAAATCGACGGGTCTGAGCGTTTTTCCAAAAAAGACTGAGCTGCCAGTAAATGCGTCTGTTTCGTTTTCGATGCGCCACCCTGTATATAAATAACGTTTTCACTTTCAAGGCCACACGACGTAAAACTGAATATTTATCTTTACTTACTGAATGCCAGATACATTTTGCATTTTAGACTAATGGTTTTAAAGCTAAATCATTTTGAAACGCAATTGCTTCCATTTCTGTCGCAGCGATGTCTTTGCTAAAATTCTGCGTAAGTTGCAAACTGTTGGATATCAATTTCCATGAAGGGTGAAACATTACATTGCGCCACTATAGCGATTTCGTTGGAATCCTTGAAACTATTTTTGAGGTTATCCTTCATGCTAGAGACCATTTCTACATGATATTTACTGTCATATGGTTCTAATGGACTTTGAGATATCTTTTCTGAAAGAACAGGGAAAATGCCTGGTATCGCCATCGATTAAGTTTTGTTCCCAAAACTCAAGTTTTTTGATAAACACTTTTATATGAGCAATCATTTCTGCTAGTTCTTTGTCTCTCCCCTGAAGCTTCAAATTAAGTTCATTCAATTTTTCTGTAATATCCACAAGAAAATCAAAATCTCTAAGCCCAATTGAATTTTCCAGTTCTGGAATCGGTTCACCACGTTGTTTGATAAATTGAACTATGTCAGATATAATATCATTAAAACGTTTCAGCACTCGTCCCCTACTTAACCAACAGTGAATAAGTAGTTTTTACTACGAATTTCATAACGAGACTTTATCACAATCCACCATAACTGGATCGCCATCGGTTGTACCGTTTTCGATATTGGAATTTCCTCAGAAGAAATAATATTTTTAAAATAAGAAGACAAGTCCTGCCCAGTAGTCCATCCTTTTAGTGAGATAACCTTCAAAAGATCTTCTACAATCGTAATATCACTAAAAGCCAACCTAACGAATACGGCCATCTGAGAGGTGTCAACGACATTATTTGTGGATCCATCCAGCTGCAGTGAAAAATAAGCACAGCTATCGAAGTCATTTATTAACTGTAAAACTATATCATTGCTCATTGCTTCTACACGTCTCATCACTATCTCGTTCTTATTTCTAAAGTTGGCAAATAATGAATCTGCAGCTTCTAAAGTCGCCTGCTTTATCATTTCCCCGTCTTCATAAGGTTTCTTCTTTTGTGTAATTATCTAGGACACTCGGTATGATGCTTCAGTTTCAGCCTTACTTTTGTCGATTGTTTTTAAAGACATTGTCCAATTAACTGATTTTTTATTTGTTTCAGTGCTTCGGTTTTGGTCGCAGAAATGATTTTTCAAAATTCGAATGTACAGTTCTATAGTGCCTCTTGATGTTCCCTTTTTTAGCAACGGAAATTGCATAACAAACATACATTTCTACCTTTTACTTCTGTAAAGAAATATTGTTCTTCCCATTCCGAATGGAAATGGTATGTCTTCAACTCCTTACTACTGCTCATAATGTTTTTAATTGCAGGCCAACTCTAACTCAACCGCTGGACTTTGTGCCGTTCATTTTTAAACTGAGCGCGCTGTCGCCGCGCCTTGCGTATTTATTCCGTTCAGAGTAATCGAGATCGTTCTCGAACTAATCGCTCACCGCAGTGTTGCCGCTGCTTGTGTTTATTATGAGAATTTACAAAATTACGGAAGCTTTTATGATTTTTACAACTAGTTAAAATATGTTGTGAGCCACCAGAATTGCCTTTGCCAGCTACCGGTAGCTCGATATCGACGGGTTGGCGACTGAATTTAGATTATGGAGAAATCTGCCCGAGGAGCCTTTTCCCAGTTCTACTAACCTTAGTCAGTTCAATAATCGGATTAACAAAGTATGCTTTGTGCCTTGGTATTTGGGCTTCTGCCCACGCAGCTGTTTCGGAATAAAACAAGTTCCAATTAAGAAAGCAGTACAGACGTACAACCCAAATTCGAGTATCACAAGTTTGTTACTAATAAAAAGGCTTAACATAAAATTTGTAAACAGGAAATTATGATCATGAACTTTACAACCGCGATTCCAGTAATTTTTATATTGAGTAAAGATGGGTGGTCTTGAATGCATCACACACTTTAGTATCGCTGTGATAATGGCCGGTGTAAAAACTTTATTTTCTTGTTCCTGAACTTGAATTGCCGAAAAATCTTCGAATGTATATAGGCCACAGCATCTCTGATGTTGTTGATAACATTTATCTTATTTATACACTCATATAATGAGAATTAAGTCGTATTTACTTAAACGATTTGCCGTATGATGAGGAGATAGCAATCAGCAACCTTCTCTCTCAATAATGGAATATTTTTGATGATACTGTTAAGGAACTACTTGGAATGTTGACACTTATTGCAAAAGGAAGCGATTATTTTGTACTGAAATATAGAACAAATGAAGCACTTCAAATTACTAAAATCTAAACATGCTAAGATACAGTATGTGCCAACTTGGGTATGATAGTGGGTATAGTTAGTATAATTATATCTGAATCGCACACCGTTGGACTAGCAGCACCGAACCACTGTTGTCATTTACCCGATTCACGCTACCTATGTGTGTAGAAAAATGTAATGGTATTATAATTTGTACCGTGTAATTTTCACCGATTTATAGGAACATAAGAGAAACTCAATTTGGATCCATATATAGGCTGTAGCTTTCTTCGAAAACAATTTTAATTGAATTGCGTTTGTGAACGCATTCTTGGTATAATAAAATATTATTGGCACATAGTACTTTCAAATAAGCTTTATCAAGATGGTTTTTAAAGAAGATATATTTTCAAGCTAACGAAAAGTGATAAACAGTTTAGTTTTAAATTGTATCTACGACCGGGCGGGAAAGTGTATTTCATTAATAGTTTTTCTAAGCTATATTTATGCTGAGAATCATCAGTATCGGTTCAGCCGTAAACATACATGGATACAAACATACATATTTTCGAATTTATAAGACAAAATGCATTAAAGGCTGTGGTAAATGCATGATGCAAATGCCCTATGTAGTACAGTGAAAATATGTTTTTATATCAAAATACTTGGCCAATCGTAAATGAAATGTATGTATTCCAGTAGAAAGAAATGTTTATTTCTCTGGCTATCTCCATGTAGATCCCATCTTCTTCGTACCCGCCGAAGGGGTTGATTTCAGACCTTGAACGTCAAAAATGCGTTTTTTGACGTTCACCTAGCCAGCAAAAGTTATAGGCTAAAAATAAATTAGAAATGTTCCCTTCATTAATAGATATAAGGCCACATAGATCCCACTTTCTTTGAACCCGTCGAAGGGGTTGACGTTCAAGAGGTGAAATCAACCCCTTCGACAGGTCCGAAGAAGATGGGATCTACATAGTCTTATAGCAAGTAACGGAATGGACATTTCTGATTCATTTTTAGCCTGTAACTTTTTTTTGGCTAGGTAGAAAATGTAGAAAATCGCATTTTTGACGTTCAAGAGATAAAATCAACCCCTTCGACGGATCCGAAGAAAATTGGATCTACGTGGCCTTATAGGCACTAATGAAAAGAACATTTTTTATTTATTTTTAGCCTGTAACTTTTTTTTTGCTAAGTTGAAAATGCAATAACCGTATTTTTGGCGTTCAAGGGGTAAAATCAACCCCTTCGATGGGTCCGAACAAAATGGGATTTTCATGGTCTTATAGCTACTAATGGCAGGGACACTTTTGATTTATTTTTACCCTGTAACTTTTTTCCAGCAGTCAAAAATGCAAATAACACATTTTCAAAGTTCAATGGGCGAAGTCCACTAGTAAAACACTATTCATTTATTTTTAGCCTGTCACTCTGTTTCTAACTAGGTGGGAGATATAAAAGATATAAAAAGCTGTCTATACTCTGAGGGTGTAACCTACCCCTACGGCAGGTAGAAACATAATAATAATAATAAACAGGGCTTTATTCACATAGTACAAAGTAGCAGAGGTAAAAAGGCGAAGTGTCAACTTAACCCAGGTAAAAAACATCAAGATTAAACGTTTGCACAAGTACACCCATAATCTACAAAAAAAATATATAAATGATAGTAATCTAATGATGTTTCATAAATTTGAACGAGAACTGTTTCACGAAGAAAAGAAGTAAATAAGTATTGCAAAGCATGATAAACCATCACATAAACCTAATTCATAGACAGGGACTAAGTAACTACGACATCAACTAAAAGTTCAGCGAGTGCTTCAATCTTTTTTTGAAGTTGATGAGTGACAGGTCTTTAAGTTCATCTTGCATGGAGTTGTACAGCTTAACGGCACTAAAGGAAAAGCTTCTGGCAAAGATTTCCGTGGTGTGACGAGGAATACAGTAAGTAGGGTGTGCCTACATCGCTGTTGACTGCGATTCGAAGGCGGGCGTAGCTTGTTCAACAAATATTTAGGGGCCTAGGTGTAGTTTTCTCAAAGCATCTAATTTCAACCATCTACACTCTTTAAACTTGGGACTGATATGGTCGAACTTTCGAACACCAAACGCGAATCTCAAGCAAGAGTTCTGTATACGCTGAAGACGAGCTGAATCAACCACTTTGAATGCATAATGATCTGTCTGCTACGCCTACATACAAACTTATCTATACAGGGTGTCCCGAAAAAAGTGTGCAATATTCTACCAGCGGTTTCTAGAGCTTAAAATAGGAAGAAAAGTTTATATAAACATAGGTCGACAAACGTCCCCTAAGGGCACTACGGTCTTTTAAAGGGCCTCCCCTGAAGATGGTTTTTCCTTAATATTTCCGAAACGTGTAGAGATCAAGACATAAAATTTGGTATTCTAGCCTATTTTTTTGTGCTGGATTTAAAAATAATAACAATTTTAGACTGTTTTGTTTGGAAGCGTATGTAACAGGGACGGACTCAGGTTATTTTAGCCCCAAAATTTTTGTGTGATTCTATTTTTGAAATTCAATTTTACAATTTGAAAATTTAGGGTTTTCTACATAAAAAAGGTACTCTCATTGAGTATCGATAAATTGTGCCATTTTTGAATAAAATCAAACTAAAAAATTTGTCACATGATAGGAAATGTACCGCGAATTTAAATTAATGAATTGTTGATTATACATAGTTAGCCATGACTGCAAACAAAAGTTGTTTTGATTTGTTATGACTTATTTTGACATTAAGCTGACATTGTTAGCAGTGTAAAATTACTAGATTAAAATCCAAATTTGTATTAAATCGATTTAAAATGCCAAGATTTAGAGACAGAGAATTGACTGACATGCATTTTGTGTACGGGTTTTGCAATGGCAGTTCATTGGCAGATTGGAAGATTTCCCAATCGCATAGTACCCGGACGCATTTTAACACTATGGTATAGGGTTCGGCACCAGCCTTAATTTTATTGGTCAATTTCAATGTATTCAACCAATGACAAGCCGGGTGCCGAAATCATTACCGGAATGTTAAACAGTGCTGAAAACA